AAGGAAAAAACTTACTTGATTTGAGACGAGTAATTTCCATATCCACCAGGAGGGGTATTTGAAATATGTCCATTCATTCTAGTCTTCACTCACTAAGGGAAAATCTGGAGGAAAAATAAATATGTTAAGTTTATACGATGGAATTATACACATAGGCTGGGTATGGAAGTAGAAACAATTAGAAAAATATGGTACACATCTGAAAGTTAAGAAGGAAGCACCAAGCACAATTTAAAATTATTGTAATAGTTACAGTAGGTTCTAGGGGTGCTCCTACAATAGATTAGAAGCCTACAATGCTCCATGCCATACAAGAGTAGAATAAAGGATGGCTCCTGTCCACAGGAGCAAACAGTCTAAGATTAGATAAAACATTCTTAAAGTTTAAATGTAAACAGTTTGGTACCCCAGAAGAATCCACTGTGTGTTAAAAAAAAAAAAGGCTACATTTCATGAGCTTGTAAACAATGAAATTTCTTTGTCCACAATATTAAAGTGAGGTATTCCTCCATATGTACATGGAAGATTTACATTAATTTTGGGAAAAAAAGCATTCAATGGATGGATGGATATAAGAGGAAAGTAAAAAAAAAACACCTTGATATTTGGGAAATAGCCATAAGACTGAAGTAGATAATATTCTAGGCAAATCAAGTATCTAACAGTACTGATCCGAGTCATGGTTGCCAAACTTAAACACAGAGAACATTCCACTTTACATGAACAACTAAAATATGAAGTAGTGTCTTATTCTCTATAGCTTTTTGTCATATCACTCAATGCTGTTTTCTCTCATCTTTTAAATTCATCTCTCTCCCACTTGAGACATGTGGTACATGTCATCTACAGGGAAATTTGAAGGAACTAAGTATTTTTAGCTTAGAGAAAAGGAGATGTAGAGGAAATAACAGTTTTCAAATATTTGAAAGGTTTGACATAAAGAAGATGTAGACCAAATACTTTCCCTTGCTTCAGAGAGCAGGATACAATATAATGGGTTTAAACTTTTGCAAAATGTCAGAGAAAAAATTTCAGGGTGGGATGGAGGAAGGGGAGGAGGGAAAACCTAATTTTCAATGTGCTACTACTCTGACAGTAAAGAATTTGCCCAGGGAAGTTGTGGAATCTTATTCATAGGAGGTGTTCAAGAAAAGGCTGTATAAGCATTTGTCTGAGAAACAGAAGTTTAGAAATGGAGCATCTTGCACGTTTGTTCAGGGGATCGGTCCCTGGAGGTTTCTTCCAACTCTCTCGTTTTTCCCCCCTAAAGAATGGATAATTTACTACTTCCCTGTACTTGGCTAAATTAAAACATTCTGTTATCTCAGCAAAATTTGCCAACTCACAATGCACCCCTCCTTTTAGATCAATAAATATACTAAATACCATGGCATCTAGTCCTGATCCCTTGGTTGTGCTACTACTAACATCTTTCTACATGGAGAATTGCTCATTTATTCTTATACCCCTCATCCTCCCCCCCGCATCCCTTAGTTCTTCTTCAGTTTGACATCCCTTTACCATTCACCCTGTATTTAGTTTCCTTTGAGTGACTGAATGAAAAGCTTAACTAAAATATATCCACCAGTTGTCTTTTATTCATCATTTATAATAAGCTTTTAAAATTTTTAATGGTTCATTAATTGCACTGGTCTCACCATTTCATGATTTGTGTGTTTACATGTTAAACTTCACAGTTGTATTTTCAAGGAACTACTGTTTTTTTTAAATCTAGAAGGAGGCAAATTAACTGTTTCCAGAATTTTTTAAATTCTTAAGATTGAGTATAAACATCCCATTCCTCCGATACAGATTACCTTATTTAACAGGAATAGTATATGTTTATTGACAACTACATCAATCTTTGATTTCTTAAAAAATCTCCAGTATTTTGTTTCTATTTATAGCCTTTACTTTATAAAATGAGGGAAGGAAACAAATATCTTCAGTAAAAATCAAATCATATATTAAGACTTACGATAAATATATGGAGCAAGGCATACAGACTGCAATTAAAATTTAAACTAGAATGCAGTGCTGTTTACACTCATTTACAATAGCTCACAAAGTAGATTTTCATGTTATCAGAAAAAAGCAGCATTTTTTTTAGTTACATAGACTATTATAAATACTTTTTTTTTTAAATGCATCTTCTATACTCCTTTGAAATTAAATGAAGAATACTATGGAAATTGTCATGATACATACATACTTAAAACCCCTTTCAATTCTTGGGCTAAGCCACCCCAGGAAATCAAACCAAACTATATAATAGTAACAAAAAAATAAAAAAAAATGCTCTTCATTACTCAAATTACATTCCTTTTAAGCCCAACATGCTAAAATTATACACTAATAACATTCAACATTTTAAACCCAAGTGTGTCAAAAACAATTTTAGGGAAAATATTTGCTTTCCTTTAAACTAAATGTGTAATGGTCTAGGGAAACAAATTATTATAAAAAAAAAAATCTCAAAAACATTGTCCCACAGAAAAGACACTAGGAAAACAGTGTTAAACAAGTTACTCCCTAATAACAATTAACAACAACTCCACTTCCTTTTTAATTTTTCCTCTCACCTCAACCCAGCAGTTTACAATCAAGTAAACTGGTATCGCTGGCACATATTTTTAAGATAGACATCCTTCAAAATTACCTGTAATATGTACCTGTAAATGGATTTGAATCATCAGAATGGTATTTATGAAACTTTTTTTCCCCCACAGAGTATTATTTTCTGCTTCAAGGTACTACTATACTTTAATACTTCTGTGAGAAATTAGTATCAAAAGGAATAAATCCCCAATTAAAAATTAAAGTAATACCATAGTAATACCATAGTTTTTATATATTTATATATATATATATAAAAAAGTGCAGTACTATCACAGCAGAGTTTTTACTTTGAAAAAGATGACTGCATGATATCCTGCATGGATTTCTCAATGCTATGGTGGTGGGCAGCAGAATAAAACAATAAGGTCTGAAGCTTTTGTACTGATTCAGTTATTTCAATAAGGTACTGATTAAAAAAAAAAGATAACAATGGAAAAATTAGTAGAAGCCCTAATACCAATAAAAGGGTACTTTATGATGACATAATTTAATTCATAAGACATAACCATTTCTAAGCATTTGAATATTGTGGCGGTGAGAAGCACTGTACCATTTTCACCACACCGCTATCATTAGCAGTACACTGTATATGTATAAACAAGTTGATAGCTAGTAACATTGAGATTTGATGCCACTTGATTTGCTATACACACTTAGGATTACTTTTTGTATAGCTATCTGACAGAATCATAGTAAAACAGAGCTGCGAGGGACCTCTGAGGTTATCTAGTTCAACTCCATGCTCAAGACAGGATCAGCTCTAACTAACCTTAACCCTAACAAACCATCCCTGTCAAATGTTTGCCTAAACCACTCTTTAAAAATTTCCAAGGATGGAGATTCCACCATTTCTCTGGAAAGCCTGTTCCAATGCTTAACCACCAGCAGAGTGAGAAAATTCCCCCTAATATTTAACCTAAATTTCCATTGCAACTGTTTGAGACCATTGATCCTAGTTTTGTTCACTGCAGCCAGAGAAGAGTCTATAGTATCTTCTTTACAACCACCCATCAGGCATTTGAAGACTTACTAAATTGCCCTCTCTCTCCAGACTAAATACTTCTAATTATTTTCTCCTTTCTTCGTAGATCATCTTTCCCAGACCTCTAAATCTTTGTGCTACTCTTTTAGATTCTTAAAATAGACTCTAATTATTCCACATCTTTTTTTGAAGTTCAGGGTCCAAAATTGGACCCAATATTCCAGGTGAGGCCACACCAGTACCAAACAGACTGGAAGGAACGTGTTCCTTGTTTTGCAAGCGACTTACCATTAACATAACCCAATATACTATTGCTTTGGGTTCGTTGGTTTTTCCAATACACTGTTGGCTCATATTCAATTTATGCTCTACTGTAATCCCCAGATGATAGTTTTCCATCATGGAAGCCTAACTGAGCATTCCCCAGTCTGTATTTGTCAAGTCAAGTCAAAACAGTCCCGAGACCACATGGACCACTGGGGAACCTCTGATGTAGCAATAACTTTCTTCCATTCATCCCAGTCTTTTGCAACCCTTGTACAGTCAGTCAATTTTAATCCTGTCCAGTTTTTGATGTTGATGTTTCTGCTTGTCCTAGGTCTTCCTCCTCCTCTTCATCCATCCACAGCAACCTACATGATAGTGTTGGTAAGGGTGCTGGGCCTTTTTGTTACATGTCCAAACCGCTGCATTTTTTTTCTTACGATTTTGAGTAAGGATTCACATTTGCTGACTTCCTGTCTGATTTGATCTTTCACAGATTTATTTGTTCTGTGTGCAGTGTAGGGTATGTGTAGAAGTCTTCTGAAGCACCACATTTCAAAGGTCTCAATTTGCTTTTCCAGTGCCCTAGTGAACGTTCAGGTCTCATAGCTACAGAGCTGCTGAAGTGACAATAGTATATAATAGGTGGGGTTTTGTTTTCATTGTGAGGTTGCTGCTAGTTCAATATTTTCTTCAGCTTTGCTAGTTGTCCAATGGCAATAGCTATTTTTGTTTGTACTGCTTTTTCTGATGTAGCAACTTCTGTGATGGTTGCTCCAAGGTATTTAAAGTGTATTACTTCTTCTAGCTTCTCATTACTAATTTTTGCTGATGCATCATTATTACTTGCTGATGTTATCATTACTTACTGTATTTGTCACTGTATTTGTTGGGGTGGGCAAAATATGGCTCATATATTTTATATGGCCTGCAATAGGTCCTTCAGCCTCGCCTGGCTCAGGTGTGAGAAGCAGCCCAGGCCATGGCACATGCGGCTGGTCCCACTGCCCCCGGGGGCGCAGTAGGCCTGGGGTGGCTCAGCAGCTAGACTTCACTTCTCAGAAGCCCTGGTGGTGGTGGCTGCTTCCAGTTGCCACTGCCACTGTTGCCACTGCCACTGGACCCAGCCCTGCTGCCCAGGCACCTCAGTCTGTCCACTGTGCACCCAACCTGGGGTGCCAGACAGAGCAGGTGGGCAGGGTGTCCATGGAGACTGGCTCAGGACCTCTGTGGGCAGGGAACACTCAGCCAGGTAGATAGGATTAGGCCAGCAGTGGGTGGGGAGCAGAGTCTGGTAGCAGGACAGGCAAGTGGGGCTGGGATCACCAGGCAGCAATTGTGCAGGGCCAGGGCAGAGCTGCAATCTACTCCCCTCACAACAAATAGTGATCGGTCCAAACTAGGAAGAGGGCACAGCGCACATCCATGATCCAGCCCCTGCTGTCCCTGCCGCAGCTGAGTGGTGTGGGGCAGCCCTGATAGATTGTGGCCAAATTAGGCTCCACCATGCTGCTGGGTTGCACTGCTCCACAGCCATATTGTACTGGGGCTGTCCACGCACACACGTGCTGGGGCAGGCCCAGCAGGTGCTGGGTCACAGGCGTGCATTCCACGCCCCCTCCGAAGTCAGGTCAGTCATGATCTGTTGTGCAAGGAGTGGATCACAGCTCTGCCCTGACCCCAGCCCCACACTGTCACCTCCCCTTCCTCCCCACAATTCTGGCCGTAGCCCTGTCTGCCCATCCCATCCCTGGATGCCACTCCCTGCCTGCCCACAGCCCTATCCTATCTACCCAGCTGAGCATGCCCTGGCAATGGGGGGTCCTGGGCCAGTCTCCATAGAGACCCTGCCTGTCCGCTCCATTGGGCACCCCCAGACGGTCTAGTAATCTACCACTTATGGAGTTTTGGTGAGCTGTTGTTGGTGGGGGGCCCTCCAGCCCAAATAATTGCCCATCCCTGATATTTGTGCATGCAGGTCTTCTGTCCAACATACAGCACTTTACATTTGCCCTTGATAAATTTAATTTGATTGATTTTTGTATCGTTTCTCCAGTTTATTACAGTCATTCTGAATCCTATCCTCTAGTGTCTACATCTGCACCTAACTTGGTGTCATCTGCAAAATTGTTAAGTGTGCACTCAATCCCATCTTCCACATTTCTTATGGTATTAAGAAATAATTAATTCCATGAATTTACCTTGAAATAGAATTGTAAAGCAAACTGAACTTTCAGAAAGATAGAACTGCCTAGTAGTTGCAGCGGGCAATAGAATCAAGAAATCACAGAAATCACTTCTACTCATTCTGAATACATCAGCCTCATGCAACCAAAAAAATAATATTGTACCGATAACAAATGAACAGCTTATCAACACAGCTGACGCTTTGGTAAACAACTATGCAGAAGGCTGAAAGGCACATGTGAGAGCAAGGAGAGAGGAAAGACAGATCGGGTGAGGTTTGTTTGGTTGGGTTTTTTTCCCCTTAATATCAGTAGATACTTAAAAACAAAATGCAAACTCAATGTCATCACATACCTCACAAAGAAGGTCTCTTTCTCAGCTTAACAGGCGGAATGCATTCTGATACTGAAAAGAAAAACCAAGTAGAAAATTACAATGCAACACTTGTGTGGGTAGCAGACCAAAAGCTTTTATCAATGTGAGAGATACACTTGTTTTTTTGCTTTACTGCCTACAGTTGAAACATATCTGTGTTATAATATAACCGACCATGAATGTATTAAAAATATCTAATGTATCTAGTATTGCTTAGTCATATTTTATAAGGAACTTTTTGTACAAAGTTTTGGGAAACTTTTAAAAAAGTTAACTGCTATATATTTTTCCTGTTCTCTTTCTCTTCTATTATGTATGATAGATTCCAAACATTTACCTTCAAGTGCATTTTATCTCAATGCAACTCCACCACATTATATTTGTGTGTGGTTTTTTTAATCCTTCTCACCTGAAACCTGAACTGGCATTTAGCAATGAGAAAAATGTTCCATTAGAACATCACTAGAGATAACTGAATACTGCAATTTTGCTCTCCAGTCTACCAGTCTAACTCTTTCAGGAGCTCTCAGCCAAGAATAAACCTCAGTTGGGCTATTAAATGAATATCCAAAACAGCTGTAAGGGGACACAAGGTCTCCTGGTTTGGCCTACACAACTGGAGCCAAGCCACAAGCATCTTATTTTATTTTCTGATTCCGTAAAAATAAATAATGACATGGGGAGTGGAGAGGAGGAGAGAAACCAGTGAAGCGCCATCTGTTGGAGAAGACTGCTTATTGCCTATCAAAAAGGAATCATAGCAAAGGAAGGGTTTCTTTCTGTAATAAAAGAATATTCTGAAATGAGAATGTTTTCCAAAGGAATTTGCATAGATGAAAACAGATCTAGCAATTAATTCACTAGATTCGGAGTCAAGATACACACACATATACCTATCTAATATATGCACATGCAAAGCATATTTGTGTAGTATTATTTTACATCTATCCATTTCAATCATAAATGTATGTATAAACACACACACATACACACACCAGTACACATACATATACATACACATACACATTTATATGAGTGTGTATACACACACAATTTTTCCATTAGAAAAGTGACATGGTAACTAATCTACATCTCACTCAGAGCCCAAAAGTCTAGATAGATAATCTGAAAAAGAAAGAATGCTACATTTTATCTTAAAATCTACAATTAGGGGCTACAAAAACTATGTTTTTAACTTTAACAAGGGAGAAGAGCTTAAAATTAATACAATACAGTGCAAAAGGAAAAAGGAAGCAAGATTATTAAAATGCCACATTCACAAGTGTTTTCTGGTAAATCCAGCACCCGGCAGCAGTTGATTTAACAAGAGAATGGAAACTATTTAGAAAATCCAATCTAGCACTCTGATCTGGGCCAAATAGCAAAGCCACTGCAGGAGCAGCCTAACAATTTAATGGCAGCAGCAGGCAAACAAATTATTTACACTCCAGCTAGGTAGCCCTTCCCTTTGAGAGACTCATCTTGATTTGATCTCTCTGCATCTCTGAGACAGAAGGAACTGCCTGTACAGACAACCCAAAGCTATGCAAGGAGTCTCCTCTTCTGAATCTTATAAACCAGTGCAAGTCAATCTTTTTAGCAGACGCGCCACAAACTAAGACTATGCCCACCTCCAGTGCCACTCTGATCCCTTCCTCTGCTTTCTACTCCCTGCTCAATCTGTTACATGCCACAGATTGGCTACCCCTGTTATAAATTAACACATTTGTACTCTAACCCAACCTGCTTTTTTTTCTTGGTAGCTCAACAAGGTACAGTTTCATTGTAAGAAACACCTCCAGGTTGTAGAAAGCAGGAGGGCAGACATACCCTTTACGTGCTTGTTCATATTTTTCTCAGAACTGAGATTTGCTTTGCCACTGTCCTTTAAACAAACTCTTTCTTTTAGTGGAGCTGAACTAGTCTTTCACATGTAACACTCTGTCCTCTATACATCAGGATATTTGGAAAGCTGTCAGTCCAAGCAAAAGCAATGGGAATATTTTGCTTTTTTTGTGTGCACGCTTCACAGCAACTTTGATAAAATCATTGTAGGGACAATTTTGAGACTGTGTGCCTAGACATATAGGTCAATATTTAATCATTTAAATTACAAATCAGCTTTCCAGAGAGGCTGAATATCAACTACTTCTCTGGATTAAAATTGGTGACACACTTCACTTTTGCATCCCAACAGACCACGCGCGCACACAGAGACTTATATTAGCAGTGCCCAATCATCTGGCCCTTCAGGCTGGATGAGCAGTTTCTGGTCAGTCTGCAAGATGATCAAGTCCATGGGCACAATCCTGGCACACAAGGTTGGCGCAGCTGGGCCCCAATCCCAGAGTGTGCAGCTTGGAAATTTTGCAGTGGAGGAGGGATGGCAGTGTTAATTGCCACTGCTCCTCCACTGCCAAATTCCCAGGCACATGGGAAATTCCACGAGCCAGATGTGATCCTAATTAAGTATAATTTTTTTTTGCAGCACATGCTGTAGCACACCTTTTTGAGGATTTCCATGGATTAGTGCAGATACTGCCCCATAACTCCCTCCCCCCCGCCCCAAGCTCTCCAGCAGTAGATTTATAGAAGTACCTCCCTTTACTCTGGCCAAAATGTGTGTGCACATAGGGACCAGCCCTGGAATCTCGTAGTCAGAGTGCTCTGGTACCATGTGACAAGGTCTATGTCCAGGTCTAAGCTTACTACTTTATCACTTTCGTAGTCATTGACCACAGAGCCTTCTTTGTGCAACTTTGAAAAATCATTGTAGACAGCAAATTCATAAAGGCAGGACAAACTTGTCTTAAACAACAGTCAAAAAGCTAAAGCAGACATGAAAACTAAAGTCAAGTGAGAATAATTTTCTACCAATTTTGTTATTGGAGGCAGCTGCACTTTGGCCATCAAACCTAGTTCCCTGTTGTAGCTAGCAATCATGGCATGTAATCCTACTCCTGTATTTAGCCATCTCCCTCCTAACATCAGTCAGGCTTTTTTTTTTTGTTTTGACCAGCTGTTTATTGAAAGGCTGAAGTAAAATATTGCTTTTCAAGTTGTGTCAACCCAAATCAAATCCTATTGCTTTGTCAAGCTGAACTGAAACATTTTGTTTTGGCTCAGTTGAGCTTTAAACCGTGTACCTGAGCTACACCCACCAGCATGGAGCTGATGCCAGAGCCTGGAACAGCTGTTTGCAGCCTCCCGGCTGCAGCCGGCCCAGGCTCTGGGTTGCCACCCTGAGTTCCACTGTTGCTTTTGCCTTTCTAACTGACCCCCTGCAAGTGCAAGCCAAGTATCTATACTCCTCCTTGGTGGCTACCCCCTCCTTCCAGTTTGTATGCCTCTTTTCATCCCTAGGCTTTCCTGGAGTTCCCTGTTCAGCCAAGAGGGTTTCTTGGCCCTTTTGCCCCCTTATGTGCAATGGGATTGTCCCCTTCTGTACCCAAAGGATTGTTCCCTTGAGAAATGAGCACCTTTCCTGGACTCCCATCTCACCAATGCTCTTGTCCTTCAGTGCTTCGCTTACTAACCTCCTCAGCTCATTGAAGTTAGCCTTTCTGCCCTACTGGTTATCTTCCCCACCTTTCGCCAGATAGTGAATTCTAACAATTGGTGGTCCCTAAACCCTAGGTTACCTTGTATCTGCACATCTCCCACCAGGTCATCCCCTGTAGCAAACACCAAGTCCAGTACGGCATTTCCCTTAGTGGGACTATATACCTCCTGCGTTAGGTGGAGGTCCTGCACACAGGTTAAGAATCTATGTGAACAGTCAGATTTAGCTGACTGCTCCTCCCAGCAGACGTCAGGGTAGTTTAGGTCACCCATAACAACCATGTCCCTTGATCGTACGGCCTCTGAGAGCTGCCTTGAGAACTCCAGGTCTAGCTCATCCTCCTGGTGTGGCAGTCTGTAATAGACCCCCACTACCAAGTCCCTTTCCCCCTGACCCCCTTGTATTCTGACCCACAGTACCTCTATTTGCCCTTCTTCTGATCCCAGCGTGATTATAGAGGATGTGTATCGTTCCTTAATACAGAGAGCAACACCTCCCCGTACCCCTTTTCCCCATTGTTGTGCCCATACAGCCTATTGCCCAATCGTGGGTAGTGTCCCACCAGGTTTCAGGTCCTGCAGCAGTAACACAAAATACTAAATATCAAACCACACAATTTTAATTCTCACAAGCAATAAAGATGTTAATGCTCAGCATTTTCCTATAAAATTTCATTTCCTTTCTTCAAAGCTGCAGAAAGTCTCATTTTCATGAAGCTTAATTCAACCAGAAATGCCCTTTGTAATTAAAGTGAAGCAAAACAAAAGCATTACAAAGCCACCTGTCAACAAGCCGGAAACCAAGATTGCTGACCTGAGAAAGCAAGTTCAAAGTGACACTTGACACCAACCCTAAACTTTCATTTTCTTAAATTCACATAAAAATGTGCACGAGCTATCAGTAACCCCGTTTAATATTAAACCTGCCTGATTAGGAAGTGTTGCTTACCTTCTGTTTCACCTAGGCCCTGTGACACAAATAAAGTGAAACAGAATATAAGCAACACTTCCTAATCAGGCAGGTTTAATATTAAACGGGGTTACTGATAGCTCATGCCCATTTTTAAAGACAAATTTCTACGTTCATCAGAAATTCCAGATTATAATGAATTAATAATTTTACAGCCATAATCTCTACTAAACCCTTAAAAAGTTTCAATGCACTTAAACTGTCATGTGTGCAAATAGCATTAAAGACAAACTATCTGGAAAGTACCGTAACCCATTCCAGGTGCAGTTAAGGTAACTGGATGGTAAATGCCTTGCATCAGGAGTCAGAGAGTGCCACATACAATTATGTTAATATACAGGCAATCACCAGAAACTATTGTGTCGCCATAAAAGTTACATGGCTGTGACAGTGACAATCACCTTGGACTCAGACCTGTCTTTTTTGCACAAACCATTTTGACCACTAAGCTTCATAGTTGCTTTATGAACTTAAATGACTAATAGCTGCATCTTAACCT